AATATGTAATAAAATATATAATAATAAATTATAAATTATATATAATAATAATAATATTAATACTAATATTAAATTATAATATTAATATTATACGACATTACTAGAGCAATAATTAATTTTAGTACGATTGTCCAATAAAATTCTTGAAATTTTTTCAGTTTAGAATTTTGTTTTTAAACATTTAAAAATTGAAAAATTCCCTAATTTATAGATAATATGTCACTATAAGGTCATTATTCAAGGGATTATTCTTGGTTCTAGGCGCCCAGGTTTGATTTGGTGAGAAACCCGCTATTAAGCAGCTATCTATCAATAAATTATCTCTCAAAGATTCCATCTGTTTGGCTCTATTTTTAATTTTTTACAAGAATGAAAAAGGCCCGAAGAATAATCGTAATAGTTTTGCCGTAATTAAATGTAATCATTAGAACATATAAAATATAATTGAAACTAAATTTTCGTGATCATCTAAACTCTTAAAAACTATCTGTGTATAAAAAAACACATAGTTAATATAACTATAATTTCATTGCTAGTACAATAATTTATTCAGTGAATTTCATTTATTTTTGTTTCTCCAATTTGGAGTAGTTTGAATTATTTATTAAAAAATCTTAATCGCATGCAATAATTTACATGCAAAATCAGCCAACTCTGAAAAATCTATAGGATCAATAACGGAGATACTAATAATTATGAAACATATGAAATAATTATTTCATACAATGAAAATTAAAAGTGAAAATAAAAATTATAAAAATAATATTTATTTAATATCAACGTAGAATTTTAAATATGATAAATTAAAAGCATTTATATTTTTCATGTTATTAATATGTTATTAATTTTTATTCATATATAATTTTTTAATACATTATATTCTTATATTTTAAATACAAATTTGCTTAAAAATATTTCTTTTAGTAAAATAATAAAACATTTTATAATTTTTTAAAATTTTCTAAGTAATATTATTATAGTAATATTTTATATTATATTGAAAAAATATTGAAATTTTCAAATTTTAATATTAGTTTTTAAAATGATATTTCAATAAAAAAAGTAATTGTTCCATGCATAATTCTATGATGATAAAAAAATGATAAAAAAAAATTTTTTAAATAAAAAAATCTAAATATAAAAAATATTTTAAACAAAAATATTCATAAAAAGACAAATTGTGTATAGTATTAATTATTTTTCCATTAATGAACATTCCATAATTAATTTACATAAATTATATAAAAATTAATTTTAATTTTTCAAATGGAATCATATAATTTTTAATTTATTAATCGATTTGTTATTTCGTAGAAAAATATATTAGTTATTATTTTTTTTTTACGTTAAAAAATCTTTAATTTAGGAGATATTATAATTTCAAAAACTTATAAAATTATGAAAAACAAGAAACAATATTCTACTTTTCTTAATATTTTCATTGTCATTTATATAATAAAATTTATGAATTTCAAGTTACAATAAATGGAACTCATCTTCTAAAATAAAGACTTTTAATACATAATATAAATAGTTTAATATTTTTTAAAAAAGAATAATGAATTATTAATTCTTTCTTGATGCAATAAAAATGCAATAAAAATTGATCTTCAACGTATCATTATGACAAATCAATATTGATCTATAAAAAAATTATTAAAATTAATATTGTATCTTTTTATATCAAACAACTTTTGTTATTTCTATTTTTCGAGATATTTGAATCAATCATAATAAATTAAACATACTGTATAAACATTATTTACATATTTACAAAATTTTACTAAAAATAAAAAATTAATCAATAATATTTATCATTAAAAAATAAAGAAATATTCAAATATTCCAACATTCATGAATTATTTGTATATGAAGAAATGTACTCTTTCTCTTTTTTATTATCAATATCATCAGCCGCAAAGTGATGTAAAACCATCATTTTCGATTGATTGAATACTTTGAATACGTTTCACATGATGTATCATGAATTTTGGTATTTTCTTGTCGGACGTTGATAGAAATTGAAATTCTCTCTGATGAAATATCAAAAACAAAGAAATATCTTTCTCTGAAATATTGAAGAAAAAAGAAAGAAAAAGAAAAGAGAGAGAGGCTAATGCAATTCATAGCTATGCCAATTGTGTACACTTTCTTAATTTGGAAATCTTTTGTTTGTGTACAATGATGGCTATGTTTAGCGAGATTTTGAAAAATATTACTTCTATTATCTTTCTTCAACGTAAAGAAAAAATTGGAAATGCAATTAATTATTATAGGAATAAAAGAAACTGCATGAAATTAGATGAAAAAATAGTAATTTTTTTTTCAATTAAGTTTTTTACATTCATTAAAGAGAAGATCAAAAATTAGGAATGAAATTCATTAATTTCGAATAATTGTTTATTAAATTATTATAAGAAATTTTTAAATCAGATTTGAATTTATTTGTTATACTATATATAGCAGAGAAGAGAAGATTTAAGCCATTAGAGAAGATAGTAGTCAAAAAATTTAAAAATATAAAGATAGTAAATGTGATTACAATTATTACAAATATAATATTTCAAAAATATAGAATTGATTAAGAGATAATCAGAAAAAATTTTTTTTTTGCAAAAAGATTAAATATGTCTGCAATTGTGTCTATAAAGCATTCTATTGGGAACTATAAGAAATTTATATATTTTGTCTATTAAAGATATTTACTACTAAAGATAATTAATTATTAAAATAAATTTGAATTATTAATATATTTATTAATTTAAAATATTTTTTTTTTTTTTTTGAAGAAAAATCAATTTTCAATTTTATAATGCTAAATTTCTCTGATTTTGAAATTTTCTGTAATTTTTATCGAAAAAATTAAGAAAATAAATAAACGAAGCTAGAAGTTAGAAAACAATTTTTTATTAAATGAAAGATGTATAATATATTCATAAAATTTAGATTATTATTAGAGTTTATTTAGAGAAATAAATATAATATTTTTATTAATTTTTTTTTCAAAATAACTAAAATCAATTTTATTATTTTATTATGTATAACATCTGATCAAGTTTTTCATAAATTATAATGATCTCCGTGAAAAATCATTTTGCAAAAGATAATCTTTCTTCATGATAAGCAAACAGTGCATAAAATAAAATAAAATATCCAATAGCATTCAATAAAAAAAAATAATTTATGTAATTACTACCTAAAAGACAAAAACCAAATGCGTATAATTGGCTCATAAACTTTTTTTTCATTTTCATTGTTATTTAAGATTATTCTAATAACAATGAAAGAAAAAACATTCTAACAAAAAATCTACTATCTAAAATCTACAGAAATAGAAAAGAAAGAAAAATATTAAATTATACTATGTTGAAAAATAGAAACGAAATAAACATAAATGTTTATTTTAATAAAAATAATATTAAGCGACATCGATAAAATATCCTATAATGCTAGCTCTAATTTTTTCTTTTATAAATTATGGGATAATAAATAATAGAGTTTTAAAAATTTTAATAAATAATAGAGTTCAAATTTTTGAATCCATATTTTATTATAATTCTAAAGAATTATAAAATTATTTATAAAAAATATAAGTTTATTAAAAAAATATAAATGAAATTAAAAAAAATATATTTAAAACAAATTGAGAGTTATTGATTATAACTAATCTATAAATCAAAATTATACATTTTTTTAATCTCAATAATTTTTTTCTTAAATATTATTTTTGTTAAATATTCTTATATAGTTGTATTATAGTTTATTTATTATATAGTTTTTATTTTATATTTTTTTATACTTTTATAATAAATCAGATAATTAAATTAATTAATATAAATAATAATAAATTAAATTAAATTAAATTACATTTTGACGATTAGTAATAAAATCATTTTTTATTATCGTTTCGGAAATCTTTCAAAATTACCGATCCATAGTATAAATCTATTTAATTAACCATTGAATCCATTAAATGTTGATTAACCTAAAAGATTTGGAATATCAAAATTTAATTGTGCAATGTTTTCCATTTAATAATAATACTATTCTCATCATTGGCTAATTATTTTCTTCGTCATGAACAATATATTAGAAACGTGCAAAAAAAAATATGTATATCTTTATTCTGTTTTTGGTTCTTTTACATATACTCATACACGCATGCTTATACACACGTATGTATGTAATATATAATTAAAATGTATAATATAATAAAAATTAATATAATTAAATTATTAGAATATATTTAATAAATTTAATAAATTTAACTGAATATTTTATGTGTTAATAAATATAATCAATCTTTTAATACTACAAGACAATATATAATCTAAGTATTGTTTAATTTATAAACATAATTATTTTTCTTTTCTATCTTTTATCTGATTACTATATATAAAATCCACAAGACTTATTAACAATATTAAGTATAATAATAATAATTATATATTATACCAATATAATTAATTAATTTAATAAATTGATTTTCTAACATTATATTTTTTATTAAGTTTTTCATATTTATGTTTTTTATTCATTTTTATGTTTTTTAGATATCATATTTTTTTTTAATTATCAATATTAATCGTCTTGACAATATTACTTGACAATAGATTGTTATTT